AGTCTATTATTGATATATTTAGTATTATCTTGGTGACAATTTAGATAAAGCTACTTTATCGAATTATAATAGTAATAGCGATGCCCTTCTTACTTATTAAAAACGTATTCAGTCAGTTCAGTAGTAGTACTGTGGTGTTGTCTACTTAAATCCATATAAGTAGTATATGGTGTTGGGCAGACATAAAATGTGTTTTGGCAGAAGACCGATGAGGAATGAACTGAAACGAAGCCCAATCGGTATGAAAATATCATGAACAATGGAATTAAAGAAGAAACAGTGAGGACTGAGACCATTGGTTGTTAATTTGCAAATTAACTGTCCATTGTATGGTTATTAGAATTTACTGAGATAGTCTGTAATGTTTGCTTAAATACATTCGATTGTCCCCAGTCATGTTCTGTTCACAACAGTACTTGTGTGGTGAACGAGAATATAGGTGGGGACAACTAAATGTATTCTGACACATAACAGAATATCTCCGTAAAATCTGAGAACCATACAGTAATAGTTGATTTGCAAAATGTTCATCAGTTGTCTCAGACTTTGTTGTTCCTTCGTTTCCACACCAATCACTCACCGTTCTTATTCTCTTCGATTTTCTCTACCTTCTACCTCCAGATATTCCACTTTTGATTGGTGATACATGCGATGTAAGTAGTATACACCACACTGCGAGTAGAAGCATTGTTAGTATCTGGAGTAGTAGTAGTAGTAGTAGTAGTAGTAGTAGTAGTAGTAGTAGTAGTAGTAGTAGTAGTAGTAGTAGTAGTAGTAGTAGTAGTAGTAGTAGTAGTAGTAGTAGTAGTAGTAGTAGTAGTAGTAGTAGTAGTAGTAGTAGTAGTAGTAGTAGTAGTAGTAGTAGTAGTAGTAGTAGTAGTAGTAGTAGTAGTAGTAGTAGTAGTAGTAGTAGTAGTAGTAGTAGTAGTAGTAGTAGTAGTAGTAGTAGTAGTAGTAGTAGTAGTAGTAGTAGTAGTAGTAGTAGTAGTAGTAGTAGTAGTAGTAGTAGTAGTAGTAGTAGTAGTAGTAGTAGTAGTAGTAGTAGTAGTAGTAGTAGTAGTAGTAGTAGTAGTAGTAGTAGTAGTAGTAGTAGTAGTAGTAGTAGTAGTAGTAGTAGTAGTAGTAGTAGTAGTAGTAGTAGTAGTAGTAGTAGTAGTAGTAGTAGTAGTAGTAGTAGTAGTAGTAGTAGTAGTAGTAGTAGTAGTAGTAGTAGTAGTAGTAGTAGTAGTAGTAGTAGTAGTAGTAGTAGAACAATATTGATTACTAAATGAGTTTTTTTCTATTTCTTTAATCACACGGAAAGATTAGTTTCGACAGTTAGACGTCACTTAACAATTTACAGTTATGAGTTTGAAGAAGTTAAAAGCGTTCGATAGATAGTGATAGATTTAAGTTTCTTACAAATTAATACTCATCAGTAAGGTATTTTTGTCATCTCAGGGGAACCGATATTTCATGTAGAGTTATAATGGTAGAGAGTTGCCAAAGACATTACTAACGAACAGTTTTAGTGGTGATTATATTTCGTATTTTCTCATCAGTTACTTACAAGAGAAGATGGGTATTGAAGTGTAATATCAAAGAGATTAGACTAAGAATAATAGTATAGAAAACTGGTCATACAAACTGGTAAGATGAATTAAAGGAATGTAATGTATGTGAGATGATCATGGTAACAAAAGTAAATACGTTTAAGTTTGTTGTGCTTAAGTGTAGAAAAAAGGAGGAGTAATTTGTGAAGATATAAAGAGGCGTTTATAGACTACATTCCTACAGGTCAACAACATAAAGAACTCAAAACGGCTGTCTGCAATTCAAAATCAAAGTCAAAATATTCAATATCAACATCATGACAGTCTTATTGTGAGGAGCTGAAACTTCCAGAACTACCACAACAATCATCAAACATGTACAAGTATTTACAAACAATTTTGTACACAAGATACTCAATGTCTGTTGATCGGAAACCATCAGTAACAGACTACTTTAAGAGTGAACAAACCAGCTTCAATGTGAAGAGTAGATTAGGACAAGAATTTGGATTTGATGAGTAGGACATAGATTGAGGAAATCAGCAAACTGTATCATGAGGCAAACGATAACATGAAATCCTAACAATAAAAGTGAAAGAGGAAGACTGGGGAACATATTGAGTTGAAAGTCTGTGTGAACAACGAAATAATGAATGAATAACAATCGGAAACAACTGAAAAGGAGAATGGAGAACAGAGTTGGTTGTAGATTGGTTGTCGGTGGCCTATGCTTTTTTCATGAAGGGGTAACAGGCCTTGACTATGATGATGGTACTGTTATATCAGCTAATTCATAACATGTTTTAATTGTGAAATATATATTTCATAATAACCATTAACCGAATACATACATTAAGGTAACAAAACTGAAGTAAGGTTCAGGATGAAAGAAATTAGTTACATTATTCATTAATTGTATTATTAATTGATTCATTCAAAATTCGATACAATCACTGAACCCAATTAGAACTTTCATTAGTCAGTAGATTTTTTAAAGGATACTACTGTTGTACTGATTACGGTCATAACAACAACAATAGCGATACTAATATCTTCAAGTTTTTTTTGTATCTACACTAGTTGTCTTCTCTTTTCTTTTTTTTGTGGGGGGAGAAGGGGGGTGGTGCCCTAAAGATATATTTTCACTAAGAGGGAGAAAGGAACATACCAAAAAAAAACAATCTAGGTAATGTAATAAGAAAAAAAACAAACACATGGGATGTATACAGATGAATGTAGAAAAGTCATCTGTATAAACAAAGACATATGTGTATGAAACCTGATTAACAGAATAACTAACTAACTATCTAACTAACTAACTAATTACATATGGTCATGGCTTTTGTCAAAGTAAATAAACATGAAAGATTATGGGGCACATATGTGTTCACTAGGTGGGATTCTTTATATACTATTTAACTTACTATAACTTCAACTATGATCCCTTGTAACAGGTGAAATTTTCTAATGATTTCATTTCATTCAACCATACATTGTCACATGGAGTAAATGTATCGATGCTTAGTTTGATAGTTTGATATAATCATTGGTAATTATTCAATGAATAGTGATACTAATATGACTGTTTCTTATCGAAATCTATGAATATTTACTGGTATAGGTTAGTAGAGATTGTTGAGTTTCATTAAGATAATGAATTGATCAATGTTGGAGAACCGTTGGAAACCTCAAACCACTGATAAGCTGTCTCATCATAATGTGGGGTTCCTCATCAGTGCATATCCACGATCCTGTGTTCAGTACTTGTGTCTAAAATCTTCGGTCTCATGCGTGAACTTTTAAATTCTAGACCACTGAGTAAGCGGTCAACGATGTTAATGTCTAACTTCAAAGAATCCACGATATTGCACGACTATCTTCCATCGTCTTCGATAGGTAATTGCCTCATGAATATTTCTTCTGAGTGTCAATACATTTTTACTTGAATTCTATCTACAAGTTCTCATTGAAAACAGACTATCTATAATTATAAAGTATTGCTTATTATCTAATAACGATATTGGTAGCAAGTTCGAGTCTTGATGTGAACATCAACCCAGGGAATTATGCCGACTCAGCTAGTGAGTAGCATATACGATGAAATGTCAATCCTGGATTTTATGACTACAGCACAATCTGGTTTTATGAAATTGTGACCGGAAGTATTGTGGAGGGGATACATTTGGGTTACAAACAGAAAACTTAAATCTCTATGTATAGTTTAATTACAACTTTTTAGTTCATGGAAATCTGCTATTTGTCTGAGTCCCTTTTTGATGTAAACAATTCACACCAGTAGATGTTTAATATTCAAATTGATCATAGATTATGCTAAATCAACAAAATTGATTTAAATTTGAAAATGTATAGTATTTATAAGCTGAGATGGATAGTGGCTAACAGTGAATTATAAGATGAGCGTTTTGTTCTATAAGAGACTCATCAGCTTAGTGTACTTGGATCCCGGGATCGATGTTCATTCCGGGACTATGAAATACAGGTACATTCAGTTGACGAGTTTCAAATAGGATGAAATGCATGCCTTGGATTCCACTATAAGCCACCATCCATCTTTGTTTATAATGCTTTTGAATTAAGGCAATATCGAGACAATCCGCTCAGGATGCAAATATGCTAATAAGAAACTGATCAATTGTATTTCTAAACATCAATGGGAAGATCCAAACAACCAATATAAAAGTGGATATAATGTATTTCGTTTTATCTCAGTCGTTTATGATTGTAGACGAATAGTCTGTCCTTATGTAAAATTCTGTTGAGTTCTATGGTATTCTGATAGCTAAATTTAAACTCTGGAAGGGAATTGTGTGTGTGTGTCTGTGTGAAATCCCAAATAATCGGCTTTTGTTTAAGGTACATAACTTTGCATCAGAGTTTACAATTTTTTTTAGAATGGTTTTAATAAAAGTATGTGAGTTGAGGTTAACTGGATAATCATTGGCAACTTGTTATAATTAAACAAATGACTGTTCGTCAGTGTTAGTTCCCTCTGTTAATAACAGCCTCTACAACTCTTTACTGATGATTATCATGTGCTCACTAGTGACTAGCTTCAAGAGGTAATTCTCGGAGTTCTAGTGAGAAGCTGTGACCAGTGTAATTAATTTGTGTTGAGTATGAGGCAGTTATCCACCAAATACATTGGAAGATGTTCTCGTGATATCGTTGGATTTTTGAAGTTAAACGTTAACACCGTTGGATGCTAACTCAGTTGTCTAGAAGTTACGTGTTCGCGCGAGAGGCTGAATGTCCTGGAATGGTAGATACTGATCGATGAGGAGTCTCATACTACGATTAAACGACCATCTAATGATTCCAGATTTCGAATGGTTGTCTAATATTGGTTGTTCGATGATCTCGATCAGAACATTTTTGAATTTTACCATTTGCGAAATGATATGTCGTACATTCTTTATTGTTTTCTTTTATTTTAATTTTTAAAAAAAGGTTCATCAATTCTATCCATTAGTTGAAATTAATTGTTCAGAAGATTTAAGATTATTTTTATGTAGTATGTATACACCAATATGTTTACCAAATTGGCATTATCGTTTAACTGCATGTAAATCATTATGTGAAAGTGCACGGGATGGTTGTATACCAGTGATGCGTACTTATGGATTTGGTTGGCCTGAACGAATGAATTGTGATCTTTTACCAGAAGGAGTAAGTTGATTATATAATTTTTTAAAAAAAAGAGAAAATGTAACTACGTATTATGTCATCATACATTTTGCATACCAATGTTCAGTGCTAGCTGAGAATAAGGTGAAGTGTTCAAGTTTAGTATTCGTAGCTTAAATAGTTTGTTAACCTGAGCTGAGGTTCGTTTCCTTCGTTGAGTGAAATTAGCTGGTTAATGTCAACTTATTAGATGCTAACCATCAATTTCATTCACATCTTTCTTCTTTGATACCTTCTGGGAGAAGGAGGCACCAATACATAGGAATCCGTGCATGCAACCAAAGATTTGAATGCTTCATATTACGTTATCTTATGAATAAACTAGTTGTAGGAGCTGAACTGGCCAATAGATTGTATTCTTAAAGATGATGCTAATTAAAAGGCAGATCCTTGTTGTACTACAAAAGAAGACGTTTCATTTCATTCCAGATAGATTAGTTAGTCATATTGATTTATAAACATATAGATCTGACTAACTCTATCATCTTATCACACAGAGATATGATCTAGGAATATTACTTACTTAATTACTTACTCACTTGCTCACTCCTGTTACCCCAACGGAGCATAGGCCGCAGACCAGCATTCTCCAACCCACTCATTCTGTCATGCGTCTTCCTTTCTAGTTCTATCCGATTTTTGGTCATTCTTCTCATGCCTGTCTCCGTTTCTCGGGATAATGTATTCTTTGGTCTTCCTCTTTTATTTTGGCTTTGACGATCCCATGTGATAGCTTGTCTTGTGACACAGTTGTGTGACTTCCTCAATGTGTGTCCTTTCCACTTCCACCAGTTCTTCCTTATTTCTTACTTCACCGGATGGAATCTGGTTTATCCTCTCCCTTATTAACTTGTTGCTGCTAGTATCCGACCAGTGAATGTTGAGTATTTTGCATAGACAACTGTTTATAAATACTTGTACCTTCTTGACAATGGATGTAGTAGTTCTCCACGTTTCAGCTTTGTTCAGTTCAACTAACTGTCTTGACGTTCATATCGAAGATTCTCACTTTGAATTTAGTTGACAGTTGTTTTGAATTGCATATGTTCTTCAAACTGATAGGATAGGTATCCATGAGAGTATCCTCAGAGTTTCAGCTGTGTACAGTAGAACAGACTGTCTTGACGTTCGTATTGAAGATTCTCACTTTGAAAGAATGATCTTTATCAACGAATAGGAATGTTTATCTATTCATATGATCAATAGAATAGATCTGTTTACTATCGTAATCATTGATTACAATACAGGTTACATATTCAATGGAGAATAAAACAGAAAAAAAGAAAAAAAAGTTTTCCATCTTTTTTTGTTTTTTTTTTGTATCAGTTTCTTTCAAGGTTTATTTGTTTCCTATTTTTTCTTCTTTTTCCTGGTTTACACAGCGGGATGTAAATTAGCCTAAAGACAAATTGTAATGACTCAGTTATTTTCTTCTTATTATATATACAATGAATCATTTATATATTCAGTTTGATGATATAAACATAGATATATATATTTTATATATAGTTGAAATTATAAGTCAATTGAAGCTAGACAAACATGGAAAACCTGAAAGCACTGGATGACCGTTTTGTTTTACTGTGGGACTCCCTTAGTGATGCGCAACCACGATCCCGCTTCGTCATGTTCGAACCCAGGACCTACCAGTCTCACGCGCGAACGCTTAACCACTTGACCACTGCGCCAGTATCCAACGATGTTAATATCTAACTTTAACCAATCCACGAAATTGAGCAACCATTTCACAATATATCTTCAGTGACTTAATATCTCACAACAGACCTGGTTGAACTCCACTGGTTAATGCTTCTCACTAGAACTCCATGAAATACCTGATGGAGCCAGTCACTAGTGAGCATATGATAAGAGGGTCCCACAATAGGACAAAACAGCTGTCCAGTGCTTTCAGGTGGTCTAGCTTCAATTGACTAATGATTTCAGCTATATATATCACTATTAAGAATGATGATCTTTATATTAAAATTTTGTTGATGTAACTAAATGTTATTACTTGTTTATGTCTTTTACCCCTCCTGGAGAAGAATAAGTCATCCACGAATATTCTCCATAGAACTCTGTTGTCCATTCTCCTTTCCAGTTGTTTCTTATTGTTACCCAGTCTTGATTTGATTTCTCACATCAATTTTCAACTCAATATGTTCCCCAGTCTTCCTCTTTCACTTTTATCGTCAGGATTTCATGTTAACACTTGCCTCATGGTACAGTTTGTTGATTTCCTCAATCTATGTCCTACTCATCAAATCCAACTTCTTTTACTAATTTCCTCTTCACATGGAAGCTGATTTGTTCTCGCCCATAGTGGTCTGATACTGATGGTTCCCTATCAACAGACATTGAATATCTTGTGTAGACAATTGTTTGTAAATACTTGTTAATGTTTGACAATGGCTGTGGTAGTTCTAAAAGTTTCAACTCTTCACGGTAGGACTGTTTTGATGTTCAGATTGAAAATTGTGACTTTGATGTTGAATCACAGACAGTTCTTTTGAGTTTGATATGCTGTTGAGCTGTAGGAATGCTGTCCTTACTTTATCAATTCTTACATTTACGTCTGCATTGGATCCTCGTTGTTTATCGATAATGCTGTCCAGATACTTGAGAGTTTTCACCTGTTCTAGAGTTTCTCCATCAGGAGTGATTTTGTTGTTGTTCTTTGAATTATATTTGAGGATGTTGATATTTCCTTTCTGTATGTTGAAGTTTACTGTTATAGAGACTGCTTCTACACTGGCTCTCTTGACCTGCATTAGCTGGTGTGTATGGGATCGGTTAGCTCAAAGATCTAGGAAATCCAAATGTTTTAGCTGCATGTAACCTATCCATTGTAATTCGTGACTTCCCTGAGATCTGATGTTTATACTTTGATTATATTTGCATATGTGTGTATGAGTTTAGGTAGGAAACTATTATCTCTTCAAACTTTTGTTTACGTGAGACTGAATACATCTGATGTTGTTGACAAAGATCTTTATAGATTTGAAAAATAAAATAAAATTTTAAAATTATTTCCAAGGGATACCATCTAGGGAAAATAGACTAACGCAATAGAACTTGCAATATATTCTGAACATAACAGCTTTCAACATACTATCATTATTAATGAAATAGATAATATGTTTATAATATTTCGATCAGTGGAAGATTAGATTTCTAGCGTTTCGCAACTTAGTTTAAGCTGCTTCTTCAGAGTGACAGCGTACACTCATATGTCAGTAATTAAATTTCCCAGTCATTTAATGGTTACAAATGGATTTAATATTCAGTAACTAACCATTTGAAATCAAAAATACCTGGATTCATTAAGTTGATGAATTTTATAGTGTTAAATAAGTCGCCCTAAACTTGTGGTGTGTACTACTGATGTCGACAGATATAAGTAGTATGTACCAATCATCGAAAGTGAAATGCCTAGAGGTAGAAGGTCAAGAAGATCATAGAAAGGTTTGTTGTAGAAACGAAAGAACAATGAAGTCTAAGAAGATTGACTGTAGTTTCCAAAAGGAATATTCACGTTTGAGACAATCGGTTGATTATTTATTTTATTTTAGGAATAATGAATACAGACCACCACCGAAAACCTGGAAGCACTGGACGGCCGTTTCGTCCTATTATGGGACTCCTCAGCAGTGCGCATCCACGATCCCGCACTCGCGAGACTCGAACCCAGGACCTACCAGTCTTCAAATGAATCATGATTTCAACTTTGAAAAATACTCAAATTTTCACAAAACCCCTTCTGATTATAATCATATGCTCACTAGTGATTGACTTCAAGATACATGTCCTGGAGTTCTAGTGGGAAGCAGTGACCAGTGGAGTTCAACCACGTCTGTTGTGAGATAACAACTCACTGAAGACAATTGGTGAATGGTTGCTCAACTTCGTGGATTAGTCGAAGTTAGACATTAACATCGTTGGATGCCGACTCAGTGGTCCATCGCTTAAGTGCCTCGGCGCGAGACTGATAGGTCCTGTGTCGAAATCTCGCGAGTGCGTGATCGTGGATTCGCACTGCTGAGGAGTCTCAGAATCGAACGAGACGGCCGTCCAGTGCTTCCAGGTATTCCATGATGGTCTAGCTTCAATTGACTCATGATTTCAACTTTGAAAAATAGTGAAATCTCCACAAATCCCTTTCTGAATGATGAATACACATAACTTTAAATAGGTATTGAAACTCAGTAATCAGACAGATGTTTATTATCAAAGAGAAACTAAGAAGTTGAATTACTTCAATTAACTAGTAACCCATTTCCTTTTTCTGTTTTATTCCAATTTTTTTCTTAGAATGAATGTGTAAGTCGAAGTAATACACCAAACAATCGGAAAGTTTCATCATCATCATCATCATCATCATCATCAACCTCTTCATCATCAGGGTCTTCTGGTGAAGAAGTTGGAATGACTGGTAAAGATACCGATAATAACAAAATGAAAGATATTATACTTGGTAAAGGTGATGAAATCTCATCTAGTCATGAATTATTAACTTTAATGAATCAAATTCATTCATTCAATCGATTAAATCCAAGTTTATCAAATTATAAATCATTTCATAAAAACTATAGTTATCCAAATATACCTCCATCAGAGATATTAAATCAGTTGCATGAACATTTGTCAAGCAGTTTATCAGAGGGTCAAAAACGACCAAATCATCGAAAAGTGAATGGAAAACTTGAAGAAGATTCAAAAATTTCCAAAACTTATCAAAAAACTTTAGGTCCAGTTATATGTTTACCATGTAAATGTCGTGATCCATTTATAACATGGATGAAACCACCATTTAATGAAGTCATTACTGGTGATATAGCTGGTTGTTTACCATCATGTCATAGTCCAACATTTAGTAATCAATCAGATAAAACATTTGCAACATTTTGGCTTGGATTATGGGCTGTATTATGTATTTTATCAACTTTAGCTACTGTTACAACATTTCTTGCTGATCCAAGTAGATTTCAATATCCTGAACGTCCAATAATCTATTTATCAGCTTGTTATTTTATGATTGCTCTTGGTTATTTAATAAGAGTTGGTATGGGTCATGAAGCAATTGCATGTGATGGACCAATTCTTAGAATAAGTACAACTGGACCTGCACAATGTAGTGTTGTTTTTCTACTTACTTATGTTTTTGGTATGGCTTCATCTGTTTGGTGGGTAATACTTACGTTGACATGGTTTTTAGCAGCAGGATTGAAATGGGGTACTGAAGCTATTGCAAAATATTCTCAGGTAATATAAAGGTGTTGAAATTTATTTAAAATGTTTTTGTAATTTATATCATGGACGAAATCCTAACTGTCCAGGAAAAGAATCTGATTTTCTCATGATAATTTTACCTACTTACTTACGCCTGTTACTCCCAATGGAGCATAGGCCACCGACCGGCATTCTCCAACACACTCTGTCCTGAACCTTCCTTTCTAGTTCTATCCAACTTCTGTTCATTCTTCTCATGTCTGTCTCCATTTCATGGTGTAATGTGTTTTTTAGTATTCCTCTTCTCGTTTGGCCTCCAGGATTCCATGTGAGGGCTTTCCTTGTGATGCAGTTAATGATAAAAATGTAAACTCATGCTTTCAACTATGAAAACACTGAAATCTCCACAAAACCCCTTCTAATAATAATAATCATATGCTCATTAGTGACTGGCTCAATGAGGTATTTCCTGGAATTCTAGTGAGAAGTAGTAACCAGTGGATTTCAAACAGGTCTGTTGGGAGATATCAACTCACTGAAGACAATGTTGAAAGGTTGCTCAACTTCGTGCATTGGTTGAGGTTAGACATTGACACCGTTGGATGCCGGCTCAGTGGACTAGAGGTTAAGTGCTAGTGAAGGAGACTGGTAGGTCCTGAGTTGGAATCTCGCGAGTGTGGGATCGTGGATGCGCACTGCTACAGAGTCCCACAATAAGACGAAACGAGCGTCCAGTGTTCTCAGGTTTTCCATGGTGGTGTAGCTTCAGTTGACTCATGCTTCCAGCTATGAAGAATGTAAATAGCAATTGATAGTTTTGACACGAAACATCTATCATTGTTCTGATCAACATTTTCAACTCTTACTAATATTTAAACGATAGGGAAATCTTCATAACAGAGTAGTATTCAGCATGGAGTACATAACAACACAATAAAATGTTCATTCACTGTCCATTCATAAACTTGTAAACAATACCTATATATATTGTACTCAAAGTTAGCTGAATCTTATCAACCAAATCTTAATCAATCTCATTTAGTTAGTTAGTTCATTAGTTAAAAGATCTGTAGATAGTACTGGTTAGCGTTAATTTTGTAAGCGAATTAGTTTTCTTCAGGGTGGAGTCGTTAACCCCATGCCCAACCCTCCTGTTTTATCCGGTCTTGAGACCGGAAGTAACTCTAGAAGACCTACAGGCGTAGTTATCTGTAGATAGTATTGTAGTGAACAAGACACGGGCGGGACAATCGAATGTATCCAAGCACACATTACAAACTGTCTTACTAAAATCTGATAACCATACAGTAAATTTGGCTGCCTGTCTAAACATCTGGGCTATCTGTTCCTGTCATCTAGATATCTATACAAGTTATCTAATTTTGTGCGTTTCTGAAGAGCGTGAGACCTATCGCTGTAAAGGTGATAAAAGGCCTAATCAGAGATATCGTAGTTGCTGTCAACATGCAGCGAGAAGAATGTACATTATCCAGATGTCGATTGACTGGGCTGCTAACTTCTAGCTGGTGATCACTAAATATATATCGTCAGTAAGGACGAAGGAGTAAGAAACGGAAACTTTTTGAAGTACTTTGGTCTGAGAATTCTATGTTGTACCAAAAATATAATATTGAATAAGGCTAATAACAAAAAAAACACTTAATTTGCAAAATAACCATCAATTGTCACAATCTTCACAATTCCTTCTGAAAATATCAATCCATCTCTCCTACCAATCGCGCTTCATTTCAATTCTTTCCAATATCGATCTTCTGCTGAAATACATTCTATGTTTGACCATCACCGTATACTACTTATGTGGATATAAGTAGACCACACCACAGTATTATATGAATATTATCTTAATAACTACGGGATAGGGTCACTAACTCCATCCCCAACCCTCCTCCTTTATCTGGGCTTCAGACTGGTAGTAACTCTAGAAGACCTACAACCAGAGTTATCTGTAGATAGTCAAATACAACAAGCAGAACACCAACCTAATCATACTTGATGGCGAAACTCTGGAAAAGGTGGAAACATTCATGTACCTGGGGAGCATCGTTGATAAACAAGGAGGATCGGATGCAGATGTAATGGCGAGGATTGGCAAAGCAAGGGCAGCATTTCTACAATTGAAGAACATATGGAACTCAAAATAACTGTCAACTAATTTCAAAGTCAGAATCTTCAATACGAACGTCAAGACAGTCCTACTGTATGGAGCTGAAACGTGGAGAACTACTACATCCATTGTCAAGAAGGTACAAGTATTTATAAACAGTTGTCTACGCAAAATACTCAACATCCATTGGCCGGATACTATCAGCAACAGCGTTTTATGGTAGAGGACAAACCAGCAGGTTCCAGCTGAAGAGGAAATGAGGAAAAGAAGTTGAAAGTGGATAGGACATACATTGTGGGAATCACCAATGTTCATTACAAAGCAATCCCTAACTCGGAATGGTGAAGAGAAGCGTAAAAGAGGAAGGTCAAACCACACAATATACCGGGTAATAGAAGCAGATATGAAAAGTATGAATAACAACTGGAAAGAACTGGAAAGGAAGACACAAGGCAGAGTTGGATGGAGAATGTTGGTGAGCGGCCTATGCTCTTCGACGAGGGGTAACAGGCATAATTAAGTAAGTAAGTAACTCTTTTCAGTATATTATAATAATTTTCTTTTCTTTTCCAGATCTATCATTTCTTTGCATGGTTCTTTCCTGGTACAAAAGCAATTATTATATTAATATTATCCGCTATTGATGGTGATCCAATTGGTGGTTTATGTACTGTTGGTTCAATTCATTTAACATATTTACGTTTATTCATTCTTATACCAATGTGTATTTATTTAACTTTAGGTACAATCTTCTTATTAGCTGGTTTTGTTGCTTTATTTAAAATACGTAATGAAATTAAATTACAAACACGTGGACATTTAAAAACTGATAAATTAGAAAAATTAATGATACGTATTGGTATATTCGGTGTTTTATATACCGTACCAGCTACTATAGTGATTGCATGTTATTGTTATGAATTATATAATCGTGATATATGGAATAAAGCACATAATTGTCCATGTACATCTATACCATATATGAAAGATCTAACACAAGAGAATCTATTAGAGAAGTTGAAATCATTATTGATTCATACTGATCAACCTTCATCACGTACGAATGATGGAATCTTGGAAGGTAAAGCGAATGATGATTTCACCCTTCATATGAATCCTCCAATATATGCTAATGTACAACCAGAATATGCAATATTTATGTTAAAATATTTTATGTCACTTGTTGTTGGTATTACATCTGGATTTTGGATATGGTCTAGTAAAACTGTGAATTCATGGCAATTATGTTTAAAACGTGTATTCAGTCGTTCATATCAATCAAATTCTAAACGAAATCAAGGTATAATATCAGTGAATGTTTTAAATCATACTGGAACTCTTTTACCAAATCGTTCACCACCACCACCACCACCACAACCACAACCACTACAAAATCCAAGTACCATTGGTTGGAATACAGGACAATCAAATGTTTGGATGAATAGTAATAGTAATCTTAAATTATCTGGTGGATTGAATCTAAGTGTTAATAATAATTGTACAACATGGCAAGATGATTACATTCCTAATAATAATAATAATAATCGATTACTTCCTCAAACACCATCAACAAATCTTGAATGTCATCATTCTAATGGTATTCACATCAGTCATACAATGCCTATACCAGTTGGATCAGTGATTGGAACATCAGGTGTATCATTATCAGGTTTACAAATGAATTCTGGATCATTTACTAATGGTCCATTAGATGGTACTGCTATAAGTGGTGGTAGTGGTACAAGTTTAACTGGACAACAACAAAATGGACGTAAAATTGATGCTAGTAATTTATTTCTTATGTCTTCAGTACCAATAACACATATCTGAATACTTAGAATTGGTAAAGTCTTTTAATTCAGTAGTATCATAACTTATTCGAAAGTTTTAGTTTTGGGATCCCGGTCTATCAATGATAATATATGACCACTTTCAAAGTATTATATAACTTCATAGACCTCAATCCTCTCATTTCATCTTCAAATATTGAATGAACCTTACTATTCACGTTAACTAATGAGGTCAATTTACTTCCCCTTTTCTCTTATTTTTTTGTTATTTACATTATAACATTAAGTTTATAAATGAATATAATTTTTTTGGCAGCGTTTACATACTACTTAAATGTACAAATCATACCAAGTAGTACCAATAGTTTCAATTACATTTTTGTTTCTTTGTTTGCATTTCTTCTCTTTTCAATAATATCCATTTATAGTTGAAAGAAGTTCCGAATGGTTCCTTTTTTTTTGTTATTGAAGTTGTTTCTATGTTTCCAAAGGTTTTTGCATTTCGATCATGTATCTAGTACAGCTTCATTATATTTTGTACATAGTTACTACATTAATATGACGTAATCTCTCTCCCCCTTTCTATGTATCTCCCCACCTACCTATCTACATATAATTTACATGTATATATATATATATATATATATATATATATATATATAAATGTATGATTCCCTGTACGAGCATAATTTACAATCACTTGATTTGTTGTGACAATCGAACAGGAACTAGATAGAATCAATCAACTGAAATTGGTGCCTTTTTTTCTTTTCGTCTTTTTTCTTTCTTTCCAATCAGTCCATAAAAACAATCAAACTAAATGAGATTTAAATGATTCAAAATTTTAAAAAGAAATATTTTCATAGTTGAAAGTATAAGTCAATTGAAGGTAGATCATCAAGGAAAACCTGGAAGCACTGAACGACCGTTTCGTTCAATGCTCCGTCCAGTGCTTCCAGCTTTTCCTTGATGATCTACCTTCAATTGACTTATGCTTTCAACTATGAAAATATTGGAATCTTCATAAAACCCTTTTTGAAAAGAAATATCCCAATTTAATAATAGTAATAATAACAATCATATTACTTATAATACTACTGAAATGTAGTGGATTATTATGATTATAATTTTAAAAGAATACTATGACTTGTAGCATTTTTATTGGGCATAATTTGTGCTTACATTTGTAAATAATAATGATAATAATAATAATGTTTGCATGGAAATTAATTGTTAAAGTGAATTGAATAAATACATATTTATATATAGTTATCCATTTGTGACATTTATAGCTGGGATACTGATTAGGTGCTCAGAACGAAGTAGGCGATTTTGCTTGGCGGGATACACACCAAGCCTTCGAATTAAAAGTCTAATCCAAAAAGCATTGAAACAGCGTCAGGACATGCAGTCCTATGGTTGCTAGTGACCGACAATAGGTACCTACGTCATTTGTTTCCTTAGGATCCTTAAATCCATGTGCATCATTGGTTTGTATTCAGGGTTTTCCAACATCCGTAAGTGGATTCTCCAAATCCACCTACCCGGTCAAAACACCGGACATTTGCTTTTTGTCATTTCAATTTCATAAACAACACCCCTATTAGGGGAATGTAGCGAGTAGTGTGGTGTTGTCTACTTATATCTATATAAGTAGTATATGGTATGGGTCAGACATAGAATGTATTTGGGCAGAAGACCGATGAGGAAAGAACGCAAATGAAGCGCAACCGTTTGGAAATGCATGAGCAATGGAATAAGAGAAGAAACAGTGAAGATTGAAACAATTGGTTGTTAATTTGTAAATTGACTGTTCATTGTTTGGTAATCAGAATTTATTGAGATAGTCTATAATCTTTGCTTAAATACATTCGATTGTCCCCAACCAGTGTTCTGTTCACTACAATAGGACTTCCTTGACAGTGGTTGTATACACATGAGACCATATGAGAGCATTTGAAGAGGGAGATTAGACTCTCTCCACTCTCAGCCGTACCAGGGTATTTGGGGGCGAATAAAATTTAAAAAAAAGTAAATTGCAAATGTAACATACATGACTTTTAAGAAATCATGAATAATTCACTAGCAATAGAATTCAGTACTCAGGTTTTGTTCTAACTAAGACTTGTCAGTAGTATATACCTAAAAATAATCAATAATCATAAATTAGTTTGTGATATAAATCTTATCAATGAGTATACTTTTAGTACAAATCAGCTTGAGAATATGATTAATTCTAGAATCATAATTTTCAGTGGATTTCATAAATTGTTCATTGAGAAGGATATCTTTGATTATATTGTGGTGTGAGTTGCTTATATACATATAAGTAGTATATAATGATGGTAGGGCAGATAATGTATTTTACTGGAATATTGATAAGGAGAAAATGTAAACAGGACGCAATTGGTATGAAAATGCATGAATAATAATAATAATAATCAGAGACTATAAACTGATATTTGCAGAAGGAATGGTCAAGATTGAGACAATTGATTAATAATCAGAAGGGGTTTTGTGGAGATTCAGTATTTTTCATAGTTGAAAGCATGAGTCGATTGAAGCGCATCCACGAACGTGCTCTCACAACATTCGAACCCAGGACCTACCAGTGTCGAGCCGAAGCCTTTAACCGATAGACCACTGAGCTGGCATCCAATAGTGTTAATGTCTAACTTCAACTGATACACGAAGTTGAGCAACCATTCACCAATTGTCTTCAGTGAGTTCCTATCTCACAACAGACGTGGTTTTGAACTCCACTTGTCACTACTTCTCACTAGAGCTCCTAAATATACTTCTCGAAGTCACTAGTGAGACTGGTAGGTAATGGGTTCGAATCTCGCGAGTGCGGGATCGTGGATGCGCACTGCTGAGGAGTCCCATAATAGGACGAAACGGCCGTCCAGTGTTTCCAGGTTTTCCATGGTGATCTAGCTTCAATTGACTCATGATCTGAACTGTGAATTGATTAATAGTTTTCAAATTAAGTGTTTACTGTATGATTGTCAAAATTTAGTGAGATAGTCTGTAATTTGGTGCCTAAATATATATTCGATTGTCCTCACTCGTCTTCTTCTGTTTTGGGACAAAGCAATATACACTCATAATGTAGTTACTACTAAACAATTGATTACTTGAAGACATTACAGAATCAAGTAGTTAATCATCCAAAAAACAATAAAAGAAAGAAAATTATTTTCAAATGATTATCCTTTCGACACTGTTTTTGTCAATTCAATAGTAGTATAGAACACAGTACATGATGTAATTATATTAATGAGAAGACATCGAAAATTTCTCTTATCAGTTAGTCAATCAGTCAACTACAACGTGGGACCAAGCACATTTATGCATCGGTCCAAGTTCCCATACCTCGATAGCACAACAAGAGGAACACAGAATTCATAGTAGTTAATTTAGTGTTGGTAGTAGTATATAAATTATAGGTTGTATATAAGGATATAGTATAGGAAGGAAGACAGATATGATGCAATTTTAATCTCAAGGTTTAAGGGAACATAAAGAGTGTATACACCTACGACATTGTGATCGATTCTCATGTTCACATAAATAATTATAAATAGTAATGGTGATTTCTTTTCAAAAAGGAAACACTTCAGTAGAGATGTATAATAAAAGAAATCCAAAATAATACACAGTAAGCTTATTTTTATCAGTGTATCCCAATAAATGAACAACAAAGCTATTAGATACATTGAAGTATTTAAAATAATGAAGTAAACAGTTTGAATTCCAATAAGTCAATGACAAAATAAATAGTTTCCTCTCTCTTCTGGTGATTGACTGGACTATGAAAACTTCGACATTTGAGGGGAAGCACGGAAAACAATGGAAATCTCAGAACCAATTAGACGATTCGGACTTTGCAGATTATCTATCTCTCCTATCTCATACACACGGATAAATACAAACGAAGACAAAAAATGTAGCAGCACCCTTTCAATCAATAGGTCTCAACATACACAAACGAAAAAGCAAAATTCTCAAATACAACACGGAGAACACCAACCAAACCAATCACAATTGATGGCGAAACTCTGGAAGAGATGGAAACGTTCAAGTACCTGGCAAGCATCAGTGATGAACAAGAAGGATTTGATGCAGATATAAAGGCGAGGATTGGCAAAGCAAGGGCAACATTTCTACAATTGAAGAATATATGGAACTCAAAACAACTGTCCAGGACAAGGTTGGGTGGAGAATGCTGGTGTGTGGTCTATGCTCCTCCACAAGAGACAACAGGAGTAAGTAAGTACCAATGAATAATCATCAAGGACAAAATACCAGTGAAATATTTTATGATTTGATTGATCGAACTTAATAAAGTCTAAAGAGCTAGAAAAATGACATTGGTCATAGTTCAATAATTAATCAATGTTCAATGTCTTAGTCTTTCATAAGGTAATTTACAATTCTAATAGATCAATGATTAATCAAATTGTGAGGATATATATACAGCTTTTAGTCTTACAGCTCTCCAATCAAACTGCTTGTTGTGATAGAATCTAAAGAAACATGTTTTCTAATCAATCCAACCTGACTGGATTATCACGATAGGGTAGTCCAGTTTCCATGTTAATATATAGTAGCTACGATCAGGAAATATACCTCAAGTATAAACGGATACATCTTAATAATCTTTTCAAACTAGAAACGTTTTTCCATGATTCATGAAATTATTTGAATGAAGCATTCGTAGAGAAATGATTGTCACTAGGACATTAACAAACAAATTACTTTCTACTTCTTTCTTTCTTTCTCTTCAAATCAACAACACTTCATAGGAATCTAATACCGGAAATTGAACCTGTTATCATATTTAAAACCAGTATTTTCAAGATAAGAGAATGATTTTTTTTTATTGAATGACTCAGTTACATGATAAGTGGATAAATTTCTATCATTTAGGAAGTCATATAGTTTGTAAATAATTTACTTGATTTAAAAGTTTAAATAGTAGATAGTTGGTAGGAATATGGTTAGGAAAGTATAAGCCTACTACTTTACTAATTGTAGTTATATATATAAAATAGAAGGGGGAAGGGGGGTTTAAAATTGAATGGTTCTAAAAAAGGTATTTCGTTCTTGTTCTGGACTCCTTAGCACAAAGCATTCATCATGTTTAGTCGGAAACACTACTTAATCGGTAGAATCCAATCATCACAAAAGAATAAGCAAGTGTAACATTAGTTACTAATCAGCATTTAGTGAAAGTAAGTGTCTGAATCCTACAGAAAATCTATGGTGATCCAAACTATGATGATGAAACTGAACGACGGTGGACCGCTGCTAAGGAACATTTTATAAGTTTTTTTTTGGAGTATTCAAATATGAAATAAGTACAAGACCGGAAATGGTTGTAATAATACGTATTTCGTTATGGAAAATTCTTTAATGTAGCAAAGCCTATCATATTGGACACAATGATCAATATTATTATAAGTATTAAAGGTATCAAACTCTGTTTAAGTGATTCTTCTCAACCACCTTTAGGTGTTTAAGGTGAGACTATCATTTATGAACGACCTTTGAGTAACGCAAAAGTGACCTTGAGAGCGTCAACCTATTTGCTAGGACTAAAAGCAGTTTGAAGAATAAGGATTATATT